CATACAAAGAATTACATTAGTCCAAGCCAGTGGTAATAAAAGCATGAATCACCTTTTCAATGTCTTTAGTGGGGAGATAAGACAAACACAGTGATATTTGAGAAGTGAAATGAAGTTGATATGATTTATAGAAAGTGTGCAATAATTGGTTAAACAAAATTAGGCAGGTCCAGGACTTGGCCGAATCTTTTACCCTTTTTCTCATAAACTTTCAGTCAACGTTTGACTGGACCATTGCAACACCTTGATGCTTATCTTTTCCAGCCATTTTTTAAAGATTTGCTGCTGCGTTTTGAGTCATTAATCTGTTTCATGACTTTTTATAACAACCTTCAGCTGTCGAACTGTTGGCCTCACAGTTGACTCTGGTATATTTGGATATGCAGAGTTGTTCATGGTCAGCTCAATGATTGCAAGGCTCCCAGGTCCTGTGACGGCAAAACTAGGTGGCACCAACTTTGTTTCTGCTCARCACAATCTCAGATTCACTTCTGCAAAATGAAGCTAGCCGATAAAGTARTTTCAAATTAAGGTATTTTTTCTRTTTTGTTTTTTAACTACATGATTTYCTGTTTAGGCAAAGTGGCGTTCGTCCAGCTGGCCGACCTCCTGAACATTGAAGTAATCACACTCAAGTCTAGACCACACCCCCTTCAAAGTTTGGTTCCCAAGATCTACCAGTCGGCCCCCAGCCGCCTCCTCTGCAGACTGGTCCAACACAGGTGAGCTGAACTGCGCTCTTAGTTAGTAGTTAAGTAAAACTCATCATGGGAAAAAAAGTAATTCTCTGTTTCACATTTTTTAAAATAAACTTCATTTTTTTGCACAGAGGCTTTGTTATTGCTTTCGACCTGATCATTCTGGTGAATGCTGTGTTCATCGGGCTGGATGAGGAGAATCCCATGATTTCGAATTCTGAATGGGTTTTCCTGACCCTCTATGTGCTGGAGATCCTGCTGAAGCTGTACGTGTGTGAGCCCAGGGCTTTTTTCTCCAGACACAGCTTTTGGAACTGGTGAGAGAACACAAACTGAAACTGGTTATTTTCTGATTTACTGCAGAAAGATTTAGGCCATATTCAGTTGATAAAATGAAGTTCCAGAGATGCGAGATTTGAACAAATAAACAGTGTTGTATAAAGTACCTCAAAGTGATACTTGAGTAAAAGTACAAGAATCTTATCATAAATTTACTTTGGTAAAAGTTCAAGTCTCCTCTAAGAATATTACTTGAGTAAAAGTCTTAAAGTCTCTAATGTATTTTGTGCTTAAGTATCAAAAGTAAATTTGACATAAAATATACTTAAGTATTAAAAGTAAAAGTATTTAGTAAAAATGAGTGGCTAGACTTCCCAAAATGACATTTATTGGGGATTGATACCCTCAAAAACCTTTTTCGAAAGGCCAAAATGGCTGTATTGTCATATAAAAATGTTAATGTTATAAAAATTTGGATGCACTACATCTGTTGCAATACACCTGTTTCAGCTTTGATACTGTAAATATATATATAAACAGCGGGTAAAATAAGTATTGAACACGTCACCATTTTTCTCAGTAAATAT